AGCTGCCGCTTGGCTGGTCTGGGGAGGGTCTCTGCCCCCAGACCACACCCCTCAGCACATCATGCTTCCTGCAAGAAGAGGAAGTCGGCACATAATTTGAATCTCTCTGGGCAGTTCACAAAGAGGAAACCTTAAGTATACGTTGTAACCATATGCGCACAAACATATAGGCATATGACCCAGAGGGACATATTTAAAAACCATTTGAAACAATCAACAGAAAAATCAAGACCTGATTAAAACCTCTTTCTGTGTTGATAAATGTCCAAAAAAAAGGTCTTAACTTAGTGCTGAAAGGATAGCAGTACTGGCAGCAGGTGGGCCTCTTTGGAGAGATCATGCTATAACTGGGGAGCTACCACTAAGAAGCTCCTCCCGCTTGTGGCCACCTTCCAAGCCTCCCTTGGAGAAGGCGCCCAGAAAATGAGTGTGCGTCTAGCTCCTGGCCAGCTCCATCAAGCACCGCAGCCCTGAGCCCCAGAAGACTCTATTGGTCAAAGCCAGCACCCTGAACCGGGCTCATAAAGATACAGAAGGCCAGGGCAAATGGGCTGGAAATGGCGGTCAGACCTTCTGTCCCTGTTAGCAGTATGGCCACTACATTTTGTATAGGCTGAGGCCGTCAAAGGCCGCTCCATGTGGAAGGCATAGCAGTAGACATCTTGCAGAGCACAGACAACCGAAGCCAAGTTATCCTTAAGGGCATGGCTGGACCACCAGCTGGAGTTGGTGGCAGGCACCCGGTGTCGCCAAGGCCACCCAAGCCTCGAGCGACAAAATGGCTGCAGTACTTGCTGCAAGCTTGCTTTACCGGGCGCGCCAGCATCCAGTCACAGGGACAGGCCACTAACTGCAGCTCGGTCTTGTCTGGCCTGGGTTTGCTAGGCCTTGCCTGGCCAGGCGTTGGTCTCGCACATCCAGCCATTTCACGTTGATGCTACATAGCACGGGGAACAATGCCAGCCCCTGCAGAACTGCTGGCCTTCTGCATCGCTGCCGCAAGTCCTTCCTCCCAGTCACCTTTATTTATGTATTTTATGGATTTAACATTTTGATATGCCGCCCCAATACCAAAAGTCTCTGGACAGCTTACAAAAAACCGAAAAACAAAAAACAGAGCAACCATATACAACAAACAAGAGCCTTGTTCTCCTTGTCTTCCTGCGTTGCCACCGGGACTTTCTTTTCTGTGCCTTCTGGATTGCGGGGATAAGCTCCCGCTTGCCTGTCAGCCAGATCAGGGCGTGCTTTCGGGACTCCCGGCACGCTTTCCTCTCGATCCACACTCGTAGCAAAGCACAGCATGGCCGAACGTTGCTTCTCGAAGCTGCTGCCACAGTTTGAACTCAGAACAACTGCGGGGCTTAGTAACATCGCCGGAGTGCATGTGCCATGCGTGAGCGGCACCTTTCAAGGTGGAGGGCAGAGCATCTGTAGGTGAGACGGGCTGAATGCAGGGCTCTGCCCTGGAGGATGCAGGTGAAGGTTGCTGTTTTTGGATATTGCCTGTCCCGCAAGGGAATATGGGGTAAATAAAGCCACGAGAGTGGTTTTGGCTCGGCCGTTGCCCGCTCTGCTGGTTTTCCACTTGCAGAAGTGGGGTTTTGTTTGGTTTTTAATTTAGCTACTGGGGAGCCTTAAAAGCTAATTCTGCTCACCTGCCCCCCTTAGAGCCCTGCTTGTTTCTGTGTGTTGAAAGGCAGCCAGCGTGGCTCTCCTTGAGGGACCCTTCTCCTCCTGAGCTCTCATCTGCAGCCACTAAACCTGTTTCTGCAGTGCTTGTTTTTAATGCCACCATTTTCCATGCCACCTTGTGACCCAGAACGAGGAGCCCTGCTGAATTTAGCTATAGTCTTAGAGCATGGTGAATGACATTGCCACCTTGCACCCTGCCTTTCTCTGTCCCTTCCTCATCCGGCCTCCCCGTGGCTGGCTTTCATGGAGGGTGGGCGTCTTCTCCGGCCAAAGGGCGTATCCGCTGGCCAGAAAGTCACCACAGCTGTGATGCTGAGTAGTCGTTTTCCCACTGCAGGTCCTGTCGCGGGTGTGGCAAATGGCTTTTCTTCCTTACAGCATTAATTTCTGGAGATTGTGCACAGCACACGCATCAGGAGAAGGCGCCTTCTGCAAGAGGCCGTGCTTCGCCCTGCCCCACGTCGTGTCCTGATTGTCTTGAAACCGTTTGTTCCCCTCCAAACATGTGGTGCCCCGCCCTGGACATGCATGTCCTGTACAATTGGGTTTTTCATAACCCGGCCCCACACCTTCTGTAGAACTATCCTTCGAACTTGAAATACGCTCCAGCTTCAGCTCTTTTGCAGATGAGCTCTCAGCTGCTGCACCTCTGTGTCCTTTGAAATGGATCCCTTCAGACACGTGGCTGGAAGCACTGAAGCCGAGGGCTGGCACTCCGCTTGCCGTGTGTGTCAAGCCGATACTTTCCCTTTCAAGCGCGGCACTTTGGCCACCCGCGTGGTTGGTACAGCCCTTTTCCCTGCCTTCGCAGGGGCAAGTGGCCTCTTCTGACTGGGCAGCTTCATGCCCCGCAGTTGTTTCTGGCTGCAGTGCCCAGCATCCCCAGCTAGCATAGCACATGTTGCGGATTATGGGGTTTGTAATTTGAAGCACCTGGAGGACCCTACCCTTGGCTACTTAAAGTGGGAGGCAGCTTTAAGGAACTTTCCCATCGGTGGCAAGAAAACCAAGCCTCCCCGTGACCCATTCCGAGGAACACTTGATCTGCAGCGCCCAGACCGTCTCCAACTGTTTCTGCTCACAAAAATAGCAGTGCGACACATCTGGAGGGTACCAGTTTGAGCAAGACCGTGCTAGAAGAACCCCTGTCCACTGGGATCTTCCCCCGTTCATGTGTTTCTGTTGAAAAGGATGAGGCTTTGGTTGAATATTTACTTATTTATTATTTCCATTTATATGTTGCTGCATTCGTCCATGCTTGGTCTCTCTGAACAGCTTACAAAGAATTAAAATAACAGAACATTTTAAAATCTATAATAATGGAGCATTAACAATAACATTCAAAAATATAAAGGAACAGAATCCCACAAATTAAAATCATTGCATAAAAACTTTTTAAATAAACACCCGTCTTCTGTTCTGCAGTGCGGCTCAGCCACCACCTGCTCAGACACCTTGCCTAGAAAGGGGAAGTTTGCCATGGTCTATAATTGATCTGCAATAACTGAAATTTGTCCAGCAAAACAGGACCAAAGAACAGCACACTGAAGACATGCCTCAAAGGCTCGAACTCAACTGCAGAGTCCAATTCATAAAAGATCTGAGCAATTTTATCTTTGAAGTGCTGGGAAAATTTGTCACAAATTGCTCCCGAGGGCCGGGAACGGTTTTACCTGCCTGCAAACCACCCTGTAGAGCTCAGACAGTGGCGTTCTTCTGGCCTGTTCGCTTCCGGCATTTCCCAGGCAGTTCTAGGGGCTGCCTTGGGTAGCTGGGACCCCTCATCCTTGCCCTGCTGCAGAGAGACTGGTGCACCGACTTGCCTTCCTGCTTCCCTGGCAGTCCCTGGAGAAGAGAGAGGCATGGTTGCTGCAAAGGATGTGCAGGACCCCATTGCTGTCTGGCATGGACAGTGGTCCAGCGGTCCGTCGCATCTCCTGCATGTCACGGCTGGAGCCGGGGGGCCGACTAGATGGCCCAGGAGGCCCCTTCTGACTTGCTCTGTTTCTGCGTTTAACTGTGCCCTTGCCTGAGTGATCCAGGGAGGACCGCAGCCCTGCGGTGGAGTTCTGGCTTGGCTCTCAGTTGGTCTCCTGGCTGGATCACCGGCAGCCAAAATAGAACAAATGGTGGAGTGGAACCCCAGAGCAGATGGTGTGAAAAATGCTCTGCTTGAGGCCCTGGGGATGCCCTTGCAGGGAAGAACAGCCCTGGGCCAGAGCCCACTCCTCGCTTCCCACGGGCCGGCTCTGAGCAGGTATTCTGGAAAGTGACCTGCCTGTGGCCACGTGGAATATGGTGCCTCGTGTGGGACTTGGACAGTTGAGCAGGTGGCTGAAAAGCACAGTTTCAGCTCACCAAAATAGAATTCTGTCTTCGTGCAGCCACCAAAGAGAGCCTAAACTAGCCATGGCGATGTAGTGAATGCAGTCAAGCCGGCTGGCAGCGGACAGGCATCACTGCTGCCTACTCCCAGCGGGGTGAAGGGTTTCCTCTCTCTGCCTCTCCTTTTTTCTTCCCCGTCCTCAGCTGCGGTAGGGCCTGATACCCCAAGTACTCCAGGCGTGAAGATTGGCTGGGCATTTGGGGGGCTCCTCTGTAAGAAGATCTGTGATGGTGGACCAGGCTACCCTGCAAGGGGGCACAGCATGTCCCAGGGCAAGGGTGGGCGAACCTCAGGCTTGTGGGATCAGTCTTATTCACGAGAACTACCAGATCCATCCAGCCAAGCCTGTGCAAAAGTCATAACCTCAAACTTAGAGAATTCTGCTCCCAAGAATTTGCTTTTCAGTTCTGGAACTTAATGGCATTAGCACAACAATGTGCTCTGGGTTTACCTCCCCAGCTGTCTTCATTTGGGAATAAAATGAGAGGAGGGAGCCGCTGCAGTTAATAAACAATCAGGAACCTTTGCTGATCTCCAAATCACCCAGAGACTGAACTGTAGATCCTGAACTGCCTGCTGCCCGCGCCACCCCATGTCCTGAGGCCCAGGCTGGATGACATGAGAGGGTGCTGAGGACTAGGAGGCTGCTGTCTCCCCCAACGCTGCACCCAGGATATGCCTTTAGGTTGTTGCAATGCCCAGGAAGGGCCTGGGTGGAGCGGGGAGGAGAGCACGAGCCAATCCGTGCGTATTCCTAAGGGGAGACATTTGATCTGGGTGGCTTCAGAGGGCAGTGGGAGGAAATCCTTGCCGGTGCATTTTTAAACCACTAAGAGAGGCGAAGCTTCTTGTGGGCTTTTTGCTTCTCATTTCCTCTAAGCTCTGCATGTCTCTGTGTTTTTTTTCTTTTCTCCAACAGGTCACCCACCAAAGTTGGGCTGCCAATACCGAAGGTGCGTCTCTTTGTATAAATGTTTGTCCGATGCAAGCAGCGTGCCTCACCTTAACAGAGAGCAGCCAGGTCACCTCATTCTAAAGACGTCAGACCTGCAACACCTAGGTAGCCGGTGGCAAATGGAGAGGGGTTTTGGTTTTTCCTCTCCCCTCCAGTTGTTTCTCTCTTACATGGTTGAGCTCTTACAGTTTTGCTTGGGATGCGCCATTCGATCAGAACAAAAGGCTGCCGTCAGGGACCCCAGGAAGGTGTGGCGACACCTGCCGCCCAGCCCCTGTCCAGAGCATGTGGCCTCGGGACATTTCTCCGTCTCCCTGTTCAACTCAGTGGAATTGGGGCAGGTGGGCTGACATTTGTGCTGGAGAACAGCAGCTTGTTCCAAATGCTTCCCCAGTCAGGGCCATGTCCAGAAGTCGAGCTCAGTAACTGGCTGGTACTTTCCACCACGCACAGCGTGTAACCTCCATTTCCGGAGACGGTTGCCATCAGTGCTCCGGTTGCCGGGCTGTGGGAACGGAGGGCAGGCGGGGGAATGTACACCCAGCCTCACCTAGACTGGGGATGTTCAGGCTTTCAGGCATGCACGCACACAGCCTCCCTCCCGAGGGTGCACCCCCATGAGACTGCCTCCCACCAGATCTCAGGAGCTTCCAGGAATCCTGTGCCCTCTCTTGGTGGGGTGAGATGAGCAAAGGAGGTGACGTTTGCCCAGGAATCCAAGGCAGCTTCCAAAGGACTTGCCCTCTGTCTTTATCCTCACAACAACCCCATGAGGTGGGTTAGGCTGAAAGACTGTGACTGGCTAGTGAGCTTCATGGCAGAGCAATGCCTAGAACCCAGAGCTCCTGAGCTCTGGTCCAACACTAACCACAATGCCGCCATTTTTTCAATCCAGGCCACCTGAAGTCACGTTGCAAAGGTGCAGTGGCTAGTTTCTGTTAAGCGTGGCTCAAGCGAGACATGTCCTGTGCGTGATTCTGGAGCCATCTGGAATTCCGCAACTCCACCAGGCCACAGGGGTCTTGGTAGTCAGCTTCGTCTTTCTCTTCTGCCTTTCTGCTCCCCGAGGGTCTCCATGTTGTGACAGAAGGGAGCTGAGTGCTTCCATTTGGAAAGCTTGAGATTACGTGAGAGCGGCGCTCTAAACTTAGCTCGTGAAGGCTGCCACGCCGTCGCTTCCCACACAGATAATTAGCGTGCTGCCACCACAAACAGCGATGGCCCAGCTGAGTCTCTGGCATGTATTAAGCAGGCCAGGAGGTGGTGCGCATTTGGGGAGGGAGCGCTCCATGTCTCTCCTTCACAGGGGCCGAGATGAGGCCACGCAGTTTCCCAGGGGATAGAGAAGCTGTTGGCCGTGAATGCGGAGGTGACGCAGTGCTGTGCCGGCAACCGGAAATGCTCCGCGATGCTGAGTGGAACATGGGCTCCCTGGCCCTGGGAATGCCCAGGGCAGCTTAAAGAGCACCAAGTTCCCCGAAAATAACTCGGAAGAGCTCAATTATTGCGGTGTGTCTTCCTGGACGTGGAACCAGAGAATCAAGCCAGAAGCACCGATTGCATGAATCTGCTGAGAGCAAAGCCAGGCACAACCAAAGATGCTGGGTGTGCAGAGGGAAGGATGGTCCTTTCTCCCCGAAAACAGCCCCAGGCACCTTAGAAATGTGAGATCAGGTCCAGGGCTGCGGAAGGACTGCAGGGCTCCATCCGTGTGGCCGTAGCGCTGGGCAGTTCGCTCTCACCTGCTGGACAGGTACAGTCTTGGCCAGGAGCTGGGTCACTTCATGGGCCCACATTTCAGCCATGGGCCCAGGGAGGACTTGCCTGAACCCTGGTTGTGTCCCCGCCAAGCGCTTGGTCCCACTGGAGCACCCCCTGGAGAAATGGCCCTGCCCGCCCCCTCGCTTGTTCTCACAGCGCTGTGCTTGCAGAGTGGCAGTTCCCGGTGTGCGGTTCCAATTTTCCTGCAGCCCTCGGGAGCCAGGCTCGCTTGGATTCTCTCAGGCATTGTGGGAAAGTTAAGATGGCGCCCAGCAGCCACGGGCCTGGGGGCGTTGGTGGGCCATGCAGCAACGGTTCCCCTGTGCACCAAGCAGTTAATGATTTAGCGGGGGCCCTTCAGCTCCGCTGTCACCGCTGGTATCCACGCCGTGAGAAAAAGGGCTTGAGCTGGTCCCTGCCAGATGTGCTGGGCTGCGACTCCCGTGATTCCAGGCTTGCTTGGAAGTATGGGAGTTGTAGTCCAGCACATCCAGAGGACACTAGGCTGGGGGAGACTGGACTTGCTCATGGCGCGCGAGGTCCTTGGCAGCTGCTGGCCCTGCCTGCTAAAGAGCACCTCCAATTTTGGGAGCAGTCCACGCCTGAAGGCCGGATGCTGGAAACGAACAGGAGGAGACCTGCCGCTGGCAGCTTTGCCTGAGAATTGCCTGGCACAGGGCCTGGTGTGGCCACTCTTGGACGCAGAGCACAAGGTTGGGTGGCCAGCTGCCCTGCTCCAGCAGTTCTGCTCCCCAGTTCCTGAGAAGCTTTGCCTCCCGCTCCCCGGAAAGTCTGCCAAGCTGCCGCGGTGCATCCGTTTCCCAGTGTGCGGAGGCGCACACCGCGTATCAGCAGCACCTGTGTCGCGCTTTGCTCTCCCGCGACCGGTCGGGCACGCGAGTGCTCGCCAAGGGGCTTCCTGACGCTCGGTTCCTTTTCAGGAACTGGCCACCGGGCCGCGGGCCGCGGAACACGAGGCACAAGCGCCGGACGTGAAGCAGGACGACTCGAAAGAGGTTTGTGGCGGGCTTCCCGTGGGCGCCCTCAGGTGGGTCGCGCGGGCCACCGGGTCAGCGATGCGCTGCACAGGGGTTTCCCTTTCGGAGCCTGTGCATCGTGCGCGCTGCAGAGATCTTGGCAGCATTGCCGAAAAGTTCCCAGATGTGGACGTCGCAGGAGAAGCGGCAGCTGAATGCCAGCGCTGTTCCGGGATTTACGAAAACCAGACAAGCAGCCATTCAGCCCTGGGGCTTTTTAGCTCACCTTTAAAGGAAAATCCCAGGTGCTTTGCACACCGCTGCCCTCAGCGCTGGTGGGGGGGGGGTGCAGCCCACTGGCTCTCCCAGGCCCCTGTGACAATGGCCTGTTCCTCGCACAGGCAGGTCGGGATGGTGGGGCATGGACTGAACCGGGGAATAGTCCCGCTGGCCCACTTCTGGGGTGATGCTCACTATTTATTTGGTGCAGCCATACCCCTCCTCTGTCCTCACGACGACCCTGTGAGGTGGGTTGGGCTGAGAGTCACTCTGAGCCTCATGGCCAGGTGAGGACAAGGAGCTGGCTCTCCTGAGTCCCAGTCCAGCTCTAACCACCACACCCTGTGCTGCTCGGGGGGCTGCCAGCAGGAGAGCGATGGGGCCTGGCGTCTGCCCCCTCTGGGCACGAAGGCCCTCCGATCTGGTGGCCCAGGCGTCCCCCGGTCCCTCCTGGCAGGCAGGGCCTCCCTTCCCTCAGCCAGCCACCTCGCCTGGGGTTTGGCTGCCCGCCTGCCGTGACAAGTCGCGTGTCTGTTTGCTGTTTAGATAATTGACAACATCATAGAAGAGAGCCAGAAGGCGCACCCGCTCGAAGACGACCCTTTGGGCGCCCCCTCTTCACGCGCAGACGCTTGGCATTCTGGCGCAGACAGTCTGCCCGCGCTGCTGGTCGTGGAAGCGGCATCCCAAGGGCAGGATGAGGCCCCCTCGGCCCAAGCCCTGGTCGTGGCCAACGGGACGGAGTCTGGGCAGGCTGCGCCGCCTCACGCCAGTACCCGTGCTGCAGCCCAGGAGGGCCGGGCGGGGGAGGCCGCCGTGTCGGCAGCCCCGGCTGCACGAGAGACCCAAGAGCCGAGCGCGGCTGACGGCCAGCGGGCGGAGGACAGGCTGCAGAGCGGGGAGGCCGCGAGGAGGCCTGCGGACACCTCTGGCCAGACCGCCTGCACGGGCATCCTGCCCTCTGAAGATTTCTCTGCCACCAGCGAGCCGCCTCCGGCCAAACCCCCACGGCAGCTCACAGTGGAGCCGGACATTGTTGCCAGCACGAAGAAGTCCGGCCCGACCCGTCCCCCGCCCCCCGCAAGCGGTCCCCCTCCCAGGCCCCCACCCCCTGCCCGGCCGGCCCCCCCGCCAAGGAAGAAAAAGAGCGACTTGGAAATCGAGACCCCGAAAATATCTGGCTTGGAAGGTAAGTTCTGGTTCTGCACATCCTAGTGGCCCGTGTACAGCATGTTTCGGTTTTATCTGCTCAGCTCTCCCCGGCCCCCGTAACTTCTCCGATCTTGCTTTAGTTCCCTTCTCAGCGGGTGGCCTGCTGTCTCCAAACGCCTCGGTGGAATCCATGGGCAAAGACTCTCAGCCTTCCTTGGATCTGGCCAGCGCGACGAGTGGAGACAAAATCGTCACTGCGCAGGTGAGCGGGTGGCCACGGGAATCGCTGCTCACGCTTGGAGGAAAGGGAGGGGTTCTGGGAGAAATGGCTCTCCATGGGGGGAGTGGGGAGCACACTGGAGAATTGGCCTAGGCTTTGTAACCACTTCCCTAGGCCAGGGTTGGGGCTTATACAGTCAAAATTTGTTTCGTGCCAAAGAGCACACCGCATCTGGAAAACAGGCATGTGGAGGAAGAAGCATTCTGGCCTAGGCTCCCCTGGATGGCAGCTTTCTAAGTGTGTGTGTGTGGCGGGGGGCGGGGCAGGTTCTGTTTCAGACGAAGGACAATCCAGTTGGGTGCTGCCCTCCCCCCGCCCTGGGTTTGCCCCGTCTGGCCCTGCGGTGCTAACGCCGTTGTTTGGTGGAGTCTCCTCTGCCACAGGTTACGGTGTTGCCCTCCGGAAATCCCACCGGTTCTGTGCGAGATGCCTTGATCCACTCTCCAGTGCTGGAGTGCGAGCAAAATCATGTGTTTTCTCCCATTGTTTGCGTTTGAGCCAAGGTGCACCTGTAATTGCAGGAGAACGGGAAGCCGGCTGACGGGCAGACGTTCACGAGCGAAGTGATTGGGCCTCAGAGGCCCAGGTCCAACTCCGGCAGAGAGCTCACGGATGAGGTATCCTTCGGGCCAGAGGGAGTGGAGCTGCGCGTGACTCCCCACTGCGTGCCGTGTTGTGTGGGAGTGCCGAGGCCGGGAGGATCCGTGCTTCTGGCTACACATTCAGACTTGCCTCTCCGCCCATCAGGCATATCTTTATGAATGTCTGTGATGCCCTTTTATTTTTTTTAAATTGTGAACCAAAAAGACTTCCAGATTGTCTGAACGGCTGAAGGGTTGTCTGAACAAAAGGAAGCGGCCCCATGGATTGTTGTAGGGTTGTGAAGTCTGGGTTGTTTAAACCATGAGTTGCTGGTATGTGTGGACAGAACTGTGGGTTGTTTGTGGGTTGTTTCACCGAGGTGCAAGAGTGGTACCCCCCCCCCCGCGGCTCTACATGCTGCCACTGCCGCATGAAAGAGGAGGAAAACCGGAAGCGAAGGGCTGTTTGGGCAGTCATCTGCCCAACTAACCCTGAGTAGGACAGTCGTCCATGGAGTTAAGCAGATTCCGTCCCGGCGTCCTGTGCAGTCCGGGCGCGCAGGTGGCTCCCCTTTGGATGCGTTGCTCCCCTGGGATTTGGGTGCCGAGTCTTTGGATTTGGAGTGCTGCCTGAGGACCTAAGAGCCAGCCAGCTGCATGCCAGGGCAGGGGGCTTTAGCTCCTTCCCTCAAATTCATGCAGCTCACACGCCAACAGGATGGGTGTGGGGGCCACGCCTCCCAACCCTCCAGCGGCCAGGCGTCTGTCTCACGGCATTTGCCTCCCCGGCCCGTGACCCCGGCCCTCCTGCCTTCCTCTACAGGAAATCCTGGCCAGTGTCATGATCAAGAACCTCGACACCGGAGAGGAGATCCCTCTGAGCTTGGCTGAGGAGAAGCTGCCCACCGGCATCAACCCCCTGACGCTGCACATCATGAGGCGGACGAAGGAATACGTCAGGTGGGGAGCCGTGGCCGGCCCCGGGGAGCAGTCACCGCGGTGCCGGCATTTCCCGGCGGGTGGTGTTCTGGGCTGGGACGTTCTTGCGCGTTTTCCTGGGACATGTGATGCAGAGCTGCCTTTGCAGAGACTGAGCACTGGCCGGAATCACCTGGCACACCGAGAGAGAAGCATTCCTGGCTGGTTCTTAAGGAGCTTGGCTAACCCCAACCAGCTGCCCAGAGAGGTGGGGGGCTCTCCCACACTGGAGGCATTCAAGAAGAAGCTGCACAGCCCTCTGAGTGGGAGGGTGTGACCTGGTGTCCTGCAACGGCAGGGGGGTGGACTAGATGGCCTTCAAGGCCCCTTCCGACTCTTCTAGGATTTCAAGGCAGGATGTAAAAGTTTGAGGACCCTTCAAGGTCATCTAGTTTCTTCCCGAACTCTTCATGAACTCCACTCCACTGCTTTGGTGGAAGAGAAAACCCACTGGGTCTGTGGTCCGTCAGGCTCCACTAACAGCACCCAGCAAAGGAGGGCCTCTCCCCTCCTTTGGGGCCTCCCTTCTGGAACAGGGGTGGCTGTCATGAGCAGCAGTGAGCCCTACCTCCCCACACACTGTTTTTTCAGGTTTAACAATTTGGTGTACATCGTTGCAGAAAAATGTGGGGTTTAACGAGCTTGTTTCCGTTTGGCTCAGACCCTGCCCTTGTCTTGGACCCAGTCTTTGATCAGTCCTGCCTCCGACGGCAGCCATGCTGTGGTGGTGCTCGTGAGGGCTCCTCGAATGGCCTAATGCGCCCCTGCTCGGCACTGGCAGCAGGCAGGAGTGCTCCGCCGTCGGTGCAGCAGGCCCCGAGGGCGACCATCCCGTTCCCCCCAAATGGATCCTCCTCCTGGCGGAGCCTTTTCCAGCTCTTCCCGTCTTCCCATGCAAATACTGCCCCGAACATTTGAGCCCCCAGTGGGTCCAGGATGCGAGAAGGACCATGGGCCCTGCTGCCCTAGCCTGGGCCGAGACAAGCACTGCTCACAGCCCCGGCTGAGGGGCCAGCTGCTCGGTGCATCACGGTGACGGCAGGCCTTCCTTTTCCACAGTAACGACGGAGCACAGTCAGATGACGAGGACAAAACGCAGCCGCAGCAGAGCGACACAGACGGTGGACGCCTGAAGCAGAAAACGTAAGGCGGCCGCTGCTGTCTTTATCCCGTATTCTCTCCAGGGGGCTCAGGGTGGCGCACGCCCCCCCCCCACGTTTTCTCCCCCAACAGCTGCTCGGGTTCTGAGGCGGTTGGGTTCTGAGCCAGCGAGTGGCTGCTGTCTCCAGGTAACCTGGTGGGGTTCGAAGAAGAGGTTCAGGGGCCCTCCGCTTGGGGAGCAGACAACCTTGGTGTGGTGCTTTCTTCTGGCGCTCTCTTACCTGTCCACCTGCCTTGGCAGGTACCTCCCCCGGCCCTGGCGATGGATGCAATATTTATCTGCTGTTTTAGGTGGCGGAATGGAATGGTTGGCAAATGCAGTTCTGTGATTCTCACTTTCTCTGTCTTGTAAATCATCCTGGCCAAGTCCATTTTTGGAAGAGTGTGGTATGAATACTCTGAATCAAAGAACTGCAAAATGCATTTTTATTGTAAAAACCTCCATACATCCTTATGCCAGGAGATAGTGAATCTCGCCGTCTGACCCTGGCCGTGGGCAGGCAACGCATCAGCACGGCATCCCTCCTCTCGGAGCTAGAAAGCAGAGGGCCCGCTGGCCGTCCTGGTGGGGCTCTGCGTTTGGACCCAGCTGGGCGAGGTGTTCAGCACGGCCCCCCCGCGAATGACTGGGCCGGCTGGGAGGATGGGAATTTCGCCCCAGCGCGTCTGGAAGGCCGCTCTGGCACCAGAAGCTGCTTGGCTGGGCCAGAAGGCGGAGGCGTGTTACCCGGCCCCCTTCGCCACCATCCCATCATGGTGTGGCAGCGCAGAAGGGAAGAAGCAGAAGCTTTGCATGCCCTTTGCTGGAGGTCTCAGTCGTGCACTGCTTGTGTGCTCATATTTTAATTCCTCTCCCATTTCGTAGTTGGTTTGCTTTTGCTGTTTCCACCAGGTCCCTGTTGCATTTTCCCTTTTTATTGTTAAGCTGCTTTGGGTTCCTATAAATACAAACACACGCTGAGCAGGGGAGGAGAGAGACAGCAGCAAAATATCAACATCTGAACCCAGCTAGAAGCGGGAAGGGAGCTGGCGTGGTGTGTTCAGCTTGCAGCCGCTCCGTGCAGCTGGTTCCTCACGTTCCCCCCTCTCTCGGAGGAGCGTCGCTGTCGGATGACTTTGCTCATGGTTTTAGTTTCCACGTGAATGCTCTTCTGTTTTAAAGGACTCAGCTGAAAAAATTCTTGGGCAAGTCGGTCAAGAGGGCAAGGCACCTGGCCGAGGAGTATGGCGAGCGCGCCGTCAACAAAGTGAAGAGCGTTCGAGACGAAGGTGGGCATCTTTTGGTGGTGGGGAAGCCCTCCTTATTCACATTAAGGCCAAAGGACGTTTAATTGTTTCTCTTTGTGACTGCAGTGTGGGATTTGAGCCTTGTCTCGGCCTTAAGCCAGCATTTCCTCCTCCGTCTGAGCCCTGCCAGTCGCAAAGTGAAAACCATATGAACCGGCTTCCTTGCTCAGGAATTGAAGTATTTTTACACAGCTGTGCAGCTGAAAAGGCTCCTGGGGGAGCTCACAGCTGGTTAAATAAGGCAGCCTCTCCCCACGGGCTTGCAGTTTAGGAAGACACAGCATGCAAGGAAAGGGGACAGGGAGGGCAGAAGGGAAGAAATGCGTCTCGTAGCAGGTCGCTGCAGTGCCACTGGAAGGGCTACTGGTCGTGTGTGGCAGACCAGTTTGCCAGGTGGTTGTCGGAATCATCGCAGTGGGCTGCAACATGGGCCAGTGAAACAGCGCTTGGCATGCAAAGGACTCCAGGGTCACCCCCCGCCCCCCGTTCAGACAGGATCAAGCAGCCATCCCCTGTTGGAAGCCCGTGAGCGCAGCTGCCGGTCCGAGCAGAGCAGTGAGAGACAACTTGGGTCTCTCCATAATCGGGCCACAATTTCTGTAATGGCTGAGCCAGCCCAGCAAGGGTGGAAGCATGCTCAGTCCAAGTCACGGAAGGGCACTCAGCGGCTTCCCTGGGAGAAAGGAGGACCAGCTGTCTGGCTGGGTGTTGGATGGCTTCATGTGTCCACCCACAACCCCTTCACGAAGTGCCGGAAAGTGCCGCACGAGTGCCGAGCGGAATTTGCTCCCGCCTTCACTGCATGTTGCTCTCTGGGTTCGCTGGAGCACCACTCCCACCTGGGAGGCAGCCTGGCACATCCTGGGGACACCAGGCTGGCGGGGGGGGGGGGGGTCAGTGTCCTGTTCGAGCGCTTCTGTGCTTCCACAGTGCCGACACCATAGCGTGGCTTCTGCAGGCAGTGCATCATCGGTGCCTTGACCGTTAGTTAGTTCGTTAGTTAGTTAGTTCGTTAGTTAGTTAGTTAATAATTTTTTTATATGCCTTCCCAATACTAAAAGTCTCTGGAGGACTTACAAAAAAATAAGGCAGCCATATACAATAACAATACGCAACACACTGCATCTGATAAATTATGATAAAAACAAGGATAAAACCAATGAACTATTAAAATATTGGGAAAATAAAATGGTCTTTGCCTGATGCCAAAAAAAATAAAGCAACGGCGCAGGCAAACCTCTCTGGGGAGCGTGTTCCACAGTTGGGGTATCACCACAGAGAAGGCCCTTCTCCGGGTAGCTGCCCTCCCGATTCCCTCAAGGAGGGCTCCCGGAGAAGGGCCTCTGCCCCAGGTCTCAAGGGGCGGGCAGGCAGGCAGGCACATCCGGGAGGAGGCGCTCCTTTGGGTACCCAGGGCCCGAGCCGCTCAGGGCCTTGTAGGCCATCAGCAGCACCCCTGGACTTTTCTGGGCAGCTCAGGAGAGGTCCTGAACCTGGCCCTCCTCTGGTGTCCTCCTCAGTCTTCCATAACGACCAGGACGACCCGTCGTCGAGCGACGACGAAGGAATGCCCTACACCAGGCCGGTGAAGTTCAAAGCGGCGCACGGCTTCAAGGGGCCCTATGATTTTGAGCAAGTCAAGGTGGTCCAGGACCTCAGTGGAGAGCACATGGTAGGTGGCTGGCTGCCCCGAGGACGGTGAGGGGTGCAGGAGGCACCTCTCCCGTGCACAGGGCCTGGCGGGCGTTCCGGCCCCGGGGTGGCGCTCTGGCGGCAGGAGCACCCTTCGGGAAGCTCTGCAGCAGACCTCGGGCCGGACCGCGTTCCCCGTTCGCCCGCCTCCCTCTCCGAGGAAGGGCCCGTGCCGCCCTTTGCCTCGGCGTGGTTGGGGCAGTGTGGGCAGGGGCGGGGGGCTGGCGCAAAGCTCGGCGGTCGGCCCTGGCGCCCCTTCCAGCGGGGAACGGCAGCTCCTGCCTGGGCCTGCTCGCGAGTCGCAGCGTTGCAGGTGCTGCGTGCGGGGCCCCCGTGCCGGTCGCGGGCGGCCTGGGCACAAAGGCCGCGCAGGAGGGGATCGGCTCCGCGCGGGGGGCGGGGGTTCCCCCGGGGGGGGGGGGGGGGGGGCGCAGCACACCTGGGGGCCCGGCGGCACTGAGGCGGGGTCCCTGGAGCCCAAGGGGCCGGGACTCGTTTCCGGGCGGCAGGCCCGGGTGGCCGGGGGGCCCTGCCGGAGGGCGGCCCCCACCGATGGCTCTCTCCCCCCAGGGGGCGGTTTGGACGATGAAGTTCTCCCACTGCGGCAGGCTGCTGGCCTCCGCGGGGCAGGACAACATGGTGAGGATCTGGGTGCTGAAGAACGCCTTCGACTACTTCAACAACATGCGGCTGAAGTACAACACGGACGGTGGGGCTCCCTTGCCCTTCTGCAGCGGGGGGGAGGGAGGGGGGGGCACCGCCTGAGGGAGCCGGCCCGCTCGCCTCGCGGCTGGGCTTAAGGCCGCGTCTGTCCTTCTGTTCAGGCCGCGTGTCCCCCTCCCCGTCTCAGGAGAGCTTGAACTCTTCCAAGTCGGACAACGACGCGGGGGTAAGTCTGACCCCTTTGTGCTCCGGATGTGAGGCCAGGAGCAGGGAGTCCCGCAGCAAAGTCTCCAGGCTGCCACTGCGTGGCCCCGCGATGCCTCGCTTCTGCTTTGGATTGGGCAGGGCGGCCCTCCCCAAGCGTGCGCCCTCCGGGCCTTTGGGGCTCCCAGGATCCCTGAGCCAGCTGAAGGTCCTGGGTGGGCGCAGGCGACGTGCGGTGAGACCGACACATTTCCGGGTGGCCTTTGTTGGGCCGCCCGAATGAGGCTCAGACCAGGTCTTTGGAGCGTCTGCCCAGGAGGGGCAGGGTGACACACCAGAACCGCCGCGGGGACCCGTCAGACCCCTTCCGCCCTTCCCTGGCAGTTGGGTGATGGACACTGCTCTCTGGCCGTGACTGGAGTGGACGGCGCAAAAGGCCGCGCTCGCTGGCCGGGTTTCCCAGCCAAACCATTCCCTCCCACCACCTTATTTAACGATGAAGCCAGTACTGCAGACTTCTGGGGGAAAGGCTGCAAGGAAGAAAAGTAGGCACGTACCCCCAGATGCATTCCTGGCTGAGGGATGACGGGGGGGGGGGGTAGCCCAAGACATCTGGAGGGCCCCAGGTTGGGGAAGACGGGTGTGGAGGACGCCGTTCTGCCCACACAGAGGGTGCTGTTTCCTGCCTGCCCTGCTGGGGTTGTCTTTGCACCTGTGGCTTGTGGGACCTTCTCTGCTACCTCCCCCCATGGAAGGTTGGGTCCCTGGGAAGCACCTGAAAGCAGACTCAAATCTTAACCCGGGCTTCTTTTCTGTGAAGGAGGTCCTTAGCCCTTTTTACTTAGCCCAGCTTGGGGCGGTGGGGGTGGGGGTGAAATTAAAACCACAGCAGTGGTGCTTGTCCCAGTGCTGATGCAGAAAGGCCCCGTGCCCACCCGGCGCTCCGCCGGTCCGGATGGCTTTCCCTTGGCGCAAAGGCGCCCAGCGATACTGCCGGGATACCTGTCCGGACTCGGGCAGCTCGTTGCATCTTGGCGCTCCCTGCCTTCCTGCCGTACTTCACCGTGCTCACTGATCTGCTGCCCAGGTTTGCAGCGGGGCGGACGAGGACCCTGACGATAGGAGCACCCCGTTCCGCCAGCGGCCGTTCTGCAAGTACAAAGGGCACACGGCTGACCTCCTGGACTTGTCCTGGTCTAAGGTGAGAGATCCCCGTCTGCTCTTGCATGATTTTTTTACAGCAGCAGCTGCTCTGGGGGTTGCGATTTGGACATAGGCCACAAAATGCAGACCGGAACAACTGCATCTCCTCCAAACCAGCCAGTGACCGACTGTGCAAATCACGGGGAGCTTCTTGCACCCCAGTGGTTCTTCTGTCATTGCCACCCTGGGCCACAGCACCCAGGCACAGATCCCAGGGGAAGCTCAGGTAGGGCAGACACACGGCCTCTCTGCTGTTCCCAGACTCCTCGGGCTGTTCTGGGTGTGTCCGCCATTGCTGCAAAGACGCGCAAGTTCCCTGGGCAGCCGCGAAGGGCTCTTTCCATCCCTCGTTCCTGCTGTGGAGCTGCGAGCGCTGAGCACGGTCTCCTCCGCTCTGAGGAGATGAGGCTTAGTGGCAGACGGCATCTCTGGCGGAGGCGCTCTCAGTGTTGCACAGCTCAGGAAATAATTCGTGCTGTTTTGATCCCCCTAGAATTACTTTCTGCTTTCTTCATCCATGGATAAGACGGTCAGGCTGTGGCACATTTCCAGGCGAGAATGCCTTTGCTGCTTCCAGCACATCGATTTTGTCACCGCCATCGCCTTCCATCCAAGGGTGAGTGCCTCCTTCCGTCCGTCCTTCCCTCCCTCCCCCCCCTTTTTTTGGTGGGCTGACCTGGTTTTTAACCTAGTTTTGTGTTTTAAATATGCATGGAGTGAGAGAACGTGTGCAGCGAGGGAGTGAAGGGAACCTTTCAGGGTAGTAGTTGGACTTGTTTGAGCAACGTAAACTTGGTGCGGGCTGCACACGTCCAGAGCACGTCCGTCGGGCGAGAAGCCCCTGGGTTTGCAGCCTTGCTCGCCCCGAGCGTTATATGAATATGGGAAGCAGTGATAGTTCAGCGTTTGTGGAATCAGGCACGGAAGAGCGCTTCCTGTGCGTGGGGGTCCCGCGTGGTTTGTTGCGTTGCTGAGGGGGAGGCGAGGCTTGGGCCCAAAGCACGGCTGATTCCCTGGGGCACCTCCTCTCCTCTCTTAGGATGACAGGTATTTTTTAAGCGGCTCCCTGGATGGAAAACTGCGACTCTGGAACATTCCTGACAAAAAAGTGGCGCTGTGGAATGAAGTGGACGGACAGACCAAGTTGATCACTGCGGCAAACTTCTGCCAGAATGGCAAATACGCCGTGATCGGCACCTACGACGGCCGGTGCATCTTCTACGACACAGAGGTGAGCCCACACTTGCTGGCTCCCTGCACGGCAGAGAGCCACGCAGGACGCTCTTGGCCGTGGTGCCACTCCCGCACTCACAGGCGAGCTCCACTGCCCCCCGGGGCCGCCCGCCTCGCCTTGGCCAGCCGCTGGGTCCCAGCAGTGTTTTAGCCACGCTCCAGAGCAGGGCAGAGGGAGCGTCCCCCGTGCCGCTCAGCGTCCTCATGGGCCTCTTGATCTCGGATTTCTCTTCAGCACTTGAAATACCACACACAGATCCACGTGCGGTCGACGAGAGGGCGGAACCGCGTTGGAAGGAAGATCACTGGGATCGAGCCCTTGCCCGGGGAAAACAAGGTAGCCCCCGCCGCCTCGGCCCCTCCGCCCTTGGGGGTGTGGGTACAGCGCCCCAGGGGGGCTGCTCCCCCACGGCCAGAGGCACGGCTTCGTCCTGCGAGCTGCACAGCCCGATAAAGCCGAGGGTCCCCTCTCTTCATGGGAACCTGCTCCTTCCCTCTGCACCAGGTTGCTTGGTTGGCAGGGCTTAATCCAAGTTTCAGTTCCACCTTTGAACATGTGAAATAGTCTGTTCTCCCTTGTCTTTCCACCATGATTACCTCACCTTTAGAGGAGTAAATGCTGGAGAGCAGAATATGAGCCCTTTGCTGTAAATGGTTGAAGACAAGATTCCACAATCCAAATGGTTTCATTGTGTGGGAGAAGCACTTTCCTGGTTTTCTTTTTCCTGAGGCTATTTTCCTTCACCAGGTCTTTCCATATTGTTTGGAATGAGGTGGGTGGGGTGGGGTGGGGTGGGGGGCCAAGGGAGGGCCCTTTCAGACCTCCGGGAGAAGCTGGTTCCCTCCAAGTGCTCCCCTTGTGCAGTTGAAAGATGCAGGCAGGGACTCCAATTGACGGGCGGGCAGCATGCAGAAGCAGCCTTTCCCTTGCCACCTTTATAAGCCGTGCGTGAAATGGGACTGTGCACTGAAGAGGAACTCCCCATGCCAGCCTCCATCCTGTCTAGCAGACAGGACTTTCGCAGAGAGGTTCTGCAAGCACGTAGAGTGTCTCTCTCTCGGCGGCAGCAGATTCCGAATGATGAGCATGCTAGGGGAACATCTCCGTGGAACAGGGTGGCCTATTTTAGGCTTAAGCTTAAGTATTTAAGCCATCTGCATACCAAACTGTCTTCCATAGGCCTGTCCCAAGGCAGCTTGTGAGATTCCAGTAAAGCGGGATTAAAGGGGAAGGGGTACCCTCAAAGCAGAAATGCCCCCCAAGTTCAGCCTGTGCTCAAAGCCAGTGTGGACGACGGAATGGACAACGCGGTTAAGCAATGCGTGGGTCTGAATGCTGCTGGCATTCGCTCCAGAAACGCATGGTTGCGGCGGTGCGTCTCTCACCTGCCGCTTTTCTTCTCATGGGAAATCCTGCCAGATCCTCGTGACATCAAACGACTCCCGGATCCGGCTGTACGATCTGCGGGATTTGTCTTTGTCAATGAAGTACAAGGGCTACGTCAACAGCAGCAGTCAGATCAAAGCCAGTTTCAGGTAAAGAAATGGCTTGCGGCTTCTCCCACCTCCACCTGTCCGGGGAAGGGCAGATGCTGTGGACCCGGTCTGCAGATTCAGGTTGTCTGCACACGGACGGCATGTTTCCTACTTCTAAAGTTAAATATTTCAAGGGCTTCCAAGTTGCTTCTCTGTGTTTGTGTACTCTTGGGCGCTCCTCCGTGGCCCAGCGGTTTGCCATTGGGCCAGGCCCGGGGAGAGCCGAGTAGCCCCGACTCGGTGCCACTCGAGCCTCATCACACAACGGCTGCTGAGCTCAGAATCAGGTTGGGGTAGAGGAGAGGAACTTGGCTTTCTGCGGAGAAGGGGGAAATGTGATCAATAGCACAAATATGTGGATGCGCGAGTTCACACAGACCAGCCTTCCTTAACCGGCTGCCCTCCAGATGCTTTGGACTCCATGGCAGCCAGTTGTCGGGAATGCTGGGAGCTGCCGGCCCAAGCATCTGGAAGTGACTCAAGTGGCGAAAGCTTGGGATGGCAGACCCTGGGAAAAGCGGAGCTCTGCGCCAGAAGGTCTGCAGAGGAATCCCTGGGCACAGAGAAAGGTACCGTGCAAACGGCTGGCTCTTTTCCTCCCCTCCTCTCTCCCTGCAGCCATGACTTCACGTACATCGTGAGTGGTTCCGAAGATAAATACGTTTACATTTGGAGCACCTACCACGACCTGAGCAAATTCACTTCCGTGCGGAGGGACCGCAACGACTTCTGGGAGGGCGTCAAAGGTGAAGCCTTCCCACTCCACAACACGCGGCCTGGGGCTATTTTCAACTGTCGCCGAAGCAACAAAAGCCACCTGGGTCGAGTCCCTGAGGGTGGTGGGGGAGTCATGCACTGCAGGAAAGAGGCCCCCGCCTTTGGGGGATGCACCCCCCGCACCAGCCCTTTGCAGAAGGGATCTGACCTGGGCCTGGCAGCGTGCAGCCCCTCACGCCCTGCCAGTCCCACAGCCGCAAGCCACCCGTTGCTGGCAATTCGTCTGATGGGCTACAAGCAGGGCTGGGGCTTGCAGGGGGGGCGTTGCTCCCCAGCGGCGGAGAACCGCTCAGTGGCCCCGCCTGCTCTCCAGCTGAGCAGATCCTGAATGTTTCGCTCTCTCCCTAGCACACAACGCGGTCGTCACGTCGGCCATTTTCGCCCCAAATCCCAACTTGATGGTCTCTGAAATACTGGAAAAGCAAGAGCCCGACAGCAAGGGCGAAGATGCAGAGTCCTCAGATCCGATTCCTTCTGGTAGGTGCGCATAGGTCGTGGGGGGGGTTGGGTAGTGGGGGCAGCAGGGGACCCGGCCATCCTTCACTGTGAGTGGAGAAACCGGTGATGGCCCCCCATCTTTGCAACCAGATTTGCCACCTTGTAACATTGCTCTTTTACGTTGTTTTATATTATTTGCAAAGCGCCCAGAGAGCTTTGACTATGGGCTGTATAGAAGTTAGTACCAAGCTGTGCTTGTAAGTTGCCTATCAGTGCCAGGCCAGTGTTCCCCCCGAGCGGCAGGCAGCCCCTTCCCTAACTCACTTGCTGCAAGTGAACTCTGGGCTGGAGCAGGTTCCTGAAGCCGCTTCTTTGTCTGCCCTTCTTAAGGAGCTTTGAAGATGGCGCACACGGAAGTGCTTCTGTCTGCTGACTTTACAGGAGCCATCAAAGTCTTCATTAACAAGAAGAAAAATGTCTCTTAACTCATCGGTAACTGGGCAGCATCATGATAATTGGTACCTGGGTGTGAATCATGTGGTCAGTGAAGCAAAATTATAGCATTGGAGGTTGGCTTCTCCTTAAAACTTCTTTCATTTAAATGCTGCTCCGTTAGGCCTCCTGGGACAGGAGCATCCGGACTATTAATTCCCCTGGCTTTTAGAATAGAAAGGGAAGTGTGTGAATAGCATTGCCCAAGCGACTCGGCGTTGTGTTTTCTGAGTAATCCTTTTGCTAAACAACTGTTGCCATGCGCAGGATTCTGCATGAAAAGGGCAGTGCCTTGTCTGGGTTACACGCACCAAACTGAGCAAGAGTGAAAGCTTAATTTATTGAGTGGCGCCTGGGGTGGGGTAGGGAGGGAATTTAACTCTGGCAGAGTGGCTGTGCTGGCCTAGGACAGCCAGTGTGATCTCTTCCCAGAGTCTCATTTCCAGCAAAGTTGATCTGTTTCTGAACTGTGCTAACAGAGCTGAATTTGTGGCTGGATCCCTCATGTCTGTGAGATTCTTTGCTGTCCTTCCCACCCTGATTGGACTAGCAGCATCAATGTTTTATAATGTGGGTTTTTGTTGTCTTCTAACTGTTGTGCGCGCTAGATTCCTCTCTTAATATATATTTTTTTTTGCACACTGGGGCACAATATTTCTATGGAGGCCCTCATTCCTTACTCCTGGGCACTGGATTATGCTCACCTTAAAAGCAAAATTAAGCTGCATTAGGAACGATTCTTACATTTTACAACAATGTAAAATAAATTGTTTACATATTTTTTAAAGCATAGTAGTTTAAAATTATGTTTCGTTTTTGTTTAGAGCTAATGGAATTTAAAGGTCTTTGTAAATACTCATAAAATATACCAATGAAATAACATTTTGGGGCATTGAAACCAACAAAATGTTGTTGATGGTTCTTGTTTCAGAAGACAAAAGATGTATCATTAAAATGGATCACACTGAAAGAGAATCTGATGTTGTGTCCTTCTTACTGTGTAAAGATTTTTGCTTGACTCAGAAGTGGCAATACCTGTACAGCAAATCACGAACAGTGGCACATAATTCTTGAAAAGCCAAGAGCTCTCTAGTCTCCAAGTTGCTACTGGAAAGTCTTCTTCCCTGAAATTGTGCTTGTGAAATTACCCCCCCCCCCCAAAAAAACTTGCAGCATGAGGTCCACTGGATAGATTTTGTGTCTCCCAGTTTTAAAGCGCCCTTTTCCCACTAGGTGGCACCCTAATTTTATCATTGCAGGAGCAGGTCAGAGCTGCAGTAAAAGTTAACACCCGCCAAGCCGCACCCTTTCGGCTTACTCCATTTCGTAGCTTGCTCCTTGCCCACTTAGCCCCAGTTTCAGTTCTCCAGCAGAAGTGACGGTCTCTGGCCAGATGCTCGGCTCCTTTACGATTTAAGATTGAGCACCCTTGAACACCAGCACGCCTCAACACAAATGGCAGCGGCAGTACACGGGCAATGTGGGGCCACCACCGAGAAAGCCCCATGCCCGATGGCCAACAGCCAAATATCCCTTCAGGGAGGAGGAGACTGGCAGGTGCATCCCCCCAATTTGAAGTCAAATGAGGAAACCACGTGAAAAGTTAAACTGGCCAGAAGCCCCAGTCAAAAAAGGTGCTCCCCTTCTGAAGTCCAGAGCGTTTTGGAGCCCAAAAGGAAGGCCCCTGACCCAATCTTGGATGTTTGCATTTAAAGGGCCAGCCCCCACTGCAGGGTTTGGCGGCCCCGCCCGAGGGTTTGGAGGCCCCTTCCTCCCCCAGCCGCTCCCGCTCCTCCTCCTCTTCCTCCCGCGCTGGCCAGGCCAGGGCGCAGGGCACGCGTGGGCTCGCCACTGTCCCCTGGGCCGGGCGGGGAGCGACCCCCGCCGCCCCATCCCCATCGCGCCAGCCCCTGCCTGGCCGGAGCAGGTGCTCCGGGAGCGGGGAGCGGCCGGGGCAGGGGCAGCCGCCGCGCTCCGGGCGCCCCGCGCAGCCCCCAGGC